GAAAGCTGGATTTTATGTATACAGGGTGGTAAAAAAGTCCCTGGACAGTTAAATATTTTAAAAAATAATGCAGATAGAGCTACAATCCTTGGTACAAAGTTACAGGGCATAAAACTCTATTTTAACACATACTCAGTGATCCAATAACTCTTCAGGGGGACGGCCCACAAGGAGTCGGAAGCAAATCTTAAATGGAAGCATAGGTCAATATGCACATCAAATTAAAGGTCTTTTTTAGTAGAATACAATGCCGCAAACCGCACTTCAAAAGGTTGATCCTGCGCAAAATGGCAGATGTACAAAGATTTCTTGAATCTGCCATTTTGAATCTTTGAACGACTGTCATTTTTTACTCAGGCATTCTTTTGAGCTTGAATTTACGGCATCGTAATCTACTAGTGAAGACCTTTAATTTGATGTGCATATCGACCTATGCTTACGTTAACAATTTTCTTCCGATTCCTAGGGCTGTGCCCCCTGAGGAGTAAGCGTATAATAGCAATGTTAATTAAATGAATCTTTGAACAACTGTCATTTCGCGCAGGATCAACCTTTCGAAGTGCGGTTTGCGGCATTGTATTCTACTAAAAAAGGCCTTTAATTTGATGTGCATATTGACCTATGCTTCCATTTAAGATTTTCTTCCGACTCCTTGTGGGCCGTCCCCCTGAAGAGTTATTGGATCACTGAATATGTGTTAAAATAGAGTTTTATGCCCTGTAACTTTGTACCAAGTATTGTAGCTCTATCTGCATTATTTTTTAAAATATTTAACTGTCCAGGGACTTTTTTACCACCCTGTATGTGATTGGACATTGAACCTTCATTCCCGCCCCCCTCCCAAAAAAAAAACCCTAGAAATTGCAGTGTTTCACTTAATTGATCATAAGTCGAATACCATGTAAGCTATCATGTTGCAATTTGTTTAGTTTTATTTCAGATTAATTTTTCTACAACTTTTGTACTTATATTCTTTTCTAAAACCAGTACTTGAAGGGATATAAAATTTAAACTTCGTTAAAAGCTTTGTTTCAGAGTACACAATTCTGTTTTTCTCTATATATATATATTTAAATATAAATACGCAAATACTGTATGGTTCAAACAAAAGTTTTAGTACGTTTTTCAATGTTGTCAAACCAAGCAACAATATCAAAAATATTTCTAATCATAAAACTATTTGCAATAAGTTGTACATTTAGCGACTTCATGTAATTATTTATCATACTATTATTCATTTGATCGTAAAATATGATTTATATGGAGGCCTCGAGGCGAGTGTGAACTGTATGTGAGGATGATGTATTTTGATGGATGACAACAAAAGAAGAAGGACTAAACATTACAACATCCATCTCTCAGAATACTTACCCAACCCTAGAAAAACGCGTATAAGTAAAAGCGTTGTATAAATCATGTTGAGGAAGTCTTTGCCCATGTGCTAAATATGCAATGTTTTAATTTTACTAGACTTAATATACTTCAACCATGACACTTCTAAATCATTTATGTGATTTAAATTTTATATCTACTATAGTACGGCTGGTATTACACTTTCACATAACAGGGAGAACATTTATGCTATAAACTAAATTACACTATATTCCGTTAAATATATTATTGAGATGTAATGATGTTCAGTTTGTTCAACCAACAAAGGGAAAATAACCATAGTATTTTAGTTAAATTATAATTTATCCCTGCAACAACATATGCAACATACGTTATTTAAATCTTTTACTTTTTAGAAGATCGCAGAAGAATTAGAAGAATTAGTCGCTAAAAAACTGATGACGATAACTTTTAATAAAACAAAGTTATTGATCGACGCTAGTGAGGTAGATTTTCTTTACACTCCTCTGAAAATGATTTCACTGAAATAATAATATACAGAAGTTTTATTAATTATATATGACGAGTCATATTCTTGTTGCGTACGCCAATGAATAGCTAAGTGGACAATATTTGTTTGGAAATATTTTATTTAATTAGGGCTCAAAAACACCAGGAATTTGATTAACTTTGTAACTGTTTTCAGAGTTTAATTATCACACACACAATGTTATTGAATTTAAAGAGTAGAATTAATATAAACAGTAATGAAATACAAAGTAAAGCAAGATGAACCAAATGAGAGAAAACCTAACGATGCCATAAGAATGGTGATGAAGTGTGGGAGCAATGCACGTGGTGAAAAGCGATGTTTAAATTTTTAGTTTTGTATTTTCGACTTTATAGAGTCTCTATCTCAAACATTAGTTGGCCTACGTTTAATCAATACTCAACAACACTATTATAAAACACTATAACCGTGTTTTAAGAAAATCGCAGTATATTGATAAAACGTTTCAGTGTTGCAATAAGACCATTCTTACTCAATTCTAGCAATCAAATACCCTAGAGGTGATATAGGTTTACTGGAACAGCTCGGTGTTGAGAGGGTTGTGTTGCAGGTTAAAGCACTGTCTTTGTCCCAGAACTCGTTTACCTTTATTGCAAATACGACTCTTATCTACATCGATGAATCGTTTAACTATGTGCTATTCTAAGCATTCCCCCCCAAAACAAATCGGTCTATATGTTGCCCTGAGACTTAGTTTAGTTTTATTGTGTTATAGAGACAAATCCGATAAGAAAATCACTTAAAATGAAGGAAGCTAATACGTTAAACCAAAAACGGCTATCGAATTGAAATTCCTAAAGCACACGAATCTCTGGAATGTCGCTTCATTATCTGAAATCAAAGTTAAAGGTTTCGGATTCTTGGGAAGTTTTAAATCACAGAAAATCAATCTGTGAGATTAAAATTAACTGGTGTTACAATGTTCTGCTAATTATTTTGTAAGAAGTATTTATTACAAAAGGAAAATATTGTTTAGGTACATTAATTGTTACTAATATGAATAATGGATATTTATTGCAGCTCAGATTAAGTTTGCTGTTTCTTAATAGGCTAATCATTTTTGATTAGTTACCTAAAAATAATAAGTAGCCTACAACGTTGATACAAAAAAATTAATTCATTTAATCAAATAGGTTATTTGAGTTCAGATATGGGCCCTGCCAAAAAACACTTTTTAATGTTTTAACTAGCCTTCCTGTGCGTTCTTCGAATTGTATTTACCATACCATCGAATTAGATCCCGTTTCAAAATAAATTAAAGGATTAAGTTTTTTGTACTAATTTGAATCATAATTCTGCTTTTATTCTGCTATAACTATCTATACTAAAACTGCTATTAATAAAAGGTTGCCGGTTCGATTACAGAAAAGTCAGTAGCTTTTTCATGGTTACTAACTGGACCCAGCTGCTCCTGATTATTGGGCTTTCATGATCCTAGCTAATGAAACAGCTGATCTTAGTTTGTAACAAAGCTGCACAGATCATCTCACAACATTCTACAATCATACTTCACTAATATTTGGGTTAAAATAAGCACCTATAATGCCATAGCCCCATCCAATAAAGCACAACTTACAGCAAATACTCAACTTAAATCCAATCCAATCGGTATTGATATGTTGTTTCGCATCCCAATTCCTTATGATATTTTGCGTAAAACTATCATTAACTGCATGGCCCAGGACCAAAATATCAATTTAAATTACAGTTTGTATACTATAACGTATTTGGTCTGAACAAAATAGTTTTTGTATAAGTAACCTAAGAGTAGAATTCATCTTTTCTCATTAATGTAAATGTTATCGTAAATTATAATTTTCACTCATGGGTCGAATGAGCCAAGCTGTGTAGCGCACTAATAGTTATCATATTTACTGCCATTAATATCAAGACGTTCATATTCTGACTTTTGAACGACACATATGAGGGTAGGTTATTGAGCGCGCTGTCCATCGTTACCTGACTTGTCACAAGTAATAACAAGCTGTCAAGCGAACATTGAAACAAATCATTTTGAGATTGAACTGTCAAAAACAGCTCACGTTTCCACCCGCCTACCTCGTCACTGAGTGACTTTGGGTGTAAGTCTAGCGAGTCTGTCGTCTTGTCTCCGTCTTGATTTTATAAACAGTAATAACATGTATAATAGAAGGAGGAGGCTGGGGGGTAAACTTCGATATGGTGGACTGTATAAAAAATGAGGGATGTGAGATATATTATGTTAAGATCAGTTTTAGAGACACACTGTGAGCACAAAATAATAAACTTTTAAATAGGAAGAAATGTGATTTGGTACCTTCCTTTTTACTGAAGTGATGTCTAGTAGACCGTTGACGTTGACGCACTTGATGTTTGCTGGCCAGCTTTCGCGTACGCGACCGGTAGTTGCACCAAGAACAGTTTGAATACAGTTTTTAACTATTCAGTTCACTTTTTTGTTAGGTGTGTCACAAATAAATACATAAGATAAACATACGATAATAAATAAGTTCAATTTATATGCCACAAATAGAGTAGGGGAATATTATAATAAAAAACTAGGGAAAATGGCGAGAACATGATGCCGGGTTGAAGAGTACATGGGGAATGGGGGAAATTGCCAGACATCACGTGACAGGGCAAGGGTCAGAACAAAATATGAATGAAGTCTGGATTCACCTAGGTTGCGTAGATGCTTGAATACGGAACATGCCGCCCGCCTTGAACCATACATGGTTCAACAGAGATTCATAAATTGATTCATTGACTCATAAATGGGCACAAGTAATACAATGTAGATATATATACACAATAGATAATGATGACACACCTAATTATAAGATATGATATATATGACAATTATAAATATAAATAAACATGAAATAGGACATTAAATAGAAATATTTTGTGATTAGGGGAGCGGGTACACCTTGGCAGCAGGGCGACAGAAGATTCCTCTCGAAGTCTTGATGGAGACAACTCGAACGATGCCATCTGCTCCAGGTGATGTCTTCACAATGCGACCAAGAGGCCAGAGAAGTGGTGGTGTTTTTGGGTCATGGATAATGACTAAATCGCCTACTTCAAGATTCTTGTTTGGCTTTATCCACTTTTTCCTTTATTGAAGCTGGTGCAAATACTCTTGGTGCCACCTTCTCCAGAAGCGTTGATGTAGAGCCTGAACTGTTTGCCAATGCTTTAGTCGATTGTCAGGAATATCGGATACATTTACTTCAGGTACTGCAACAAGAGATGTCCCGATGAGGAAATGACCTGGGATGAGTGCTGTGATGTCAGATGGATCTGCTGATAGAGCTGTTAGTGGACGAGAGTTCAATACTGCTTCCACCTGCGTGACAAGAGTTATCAGCTCCATTAGTGTTAGAATTTGATCTCCAATTACTCTCTTGAGATGGTACTTTGAGCTCTTTATGGCACTCTCCCAAAGGCCTCCTTGGTGAGGCGCGGCTGGTGGTTGGAAATGAAAATTAATTGAATGATCGAGGGCGAAGTTAGTGAGAGCATCTTGAGTATTCCTTTCATCAATGAAACTCTGGAAGGTCTTATTCAGTTGCTTGGAGGCACCGACATAGTTCGTTCCACAATCAGAGTATAGGTGAGCACAAAGTCCACGACGAGAAACAAATCTTTTAAGAGCAGCAATGAATGAGTCCACTGAGAGATCAGTTACAACTTCCAAGTGCACCGCTTTGTGGTAAAGCGAACAAATAGGCAGAGGTATGACTTAAGCTTTTGAGAATTCCTAGTGGTGTGTACTTTCACTTCAAAGTGACCGCTATAATCCATGCCAGTATGATAGAATGGTCTTACAGGCCGTAGTCGAGTTTCGGGTAAGTCTCCCATAAGTGGAGGTTGATTTGTAGGTTTCAACTTAAAACATCTTTGACATTTAAAGATTACAGATCTGATTACACTACGAGCAGATAATATCCATACTTCTTGAGTGAGGATCGATTGCAGCAACTGAGGGCCTGCGTGTAAATATTTGAGATGATAGTGCATGACCAACAGTTTTACAACATTATGAGATTTAGGTAACAGGATTGGGTATTTGGCATCTTGAGTAAGGTTCGAATGTTTCAACCTACCGCCTACTCTTACCAAACCGTTATCGTCAATGTAAGGTGATAACCGAGCCAGTCTTAAGCTGCACTGAGTGCCCTTTTTCAGAGCTGTGATGTCATCCTTGAAAGATGAAATTTGAATGAGTTTGAAGAGATTCATTTTAGCAGAAGAGATCTCTTTATAACTAAGTTGTCCAGCTAGTCGGGCGTTCCCACGAAGATAATGGATGAATCGTAGAACATAAGCAGTGACATTTACAAGTTTTCTAAAGCATGAGAATTTTTCAAGTAAATCAAATCTGTCATTTTCTAACTTTTCAACGTTAACTAGGACATTCAAGGGATTTGGTTTGACTTCAAGAGTGTCTTGATCAGTGATTAAACTGAATTCGGGCTTTGGCCAAAGATCTGATGACAAGTATAACCATTCAGGTCCCTTCCACCACAATTGGTGGCTTAAGAGTTGAGATGGGGAGAGTCCTCGGGTTGCACAATCTGCTGGGTTGTCGAGGGACTTGACGTAATGCCATGATTCAGGAGAGATTAATTCTTGTAGTTCTGAGACACGGTTGGCCACATAGACTTTTAAGCGATAGGGGTGAGTGCGTATCCATGTAAGAACAATGGTAGAGTCACACCAAGCATACATCGAGTCAATCTTAATGTGGGACGAAAGAAGATTTGAACAGTATTGCAGGAGCTTTCCAAGTAGGTGAGCACCGCACAGTTCGAGACGAGGCAGAGATACTCTTTTTAGTGGGGCGACTTTAGATTTGGCCATTATCAGATTAATTTTAACATCATTCGATAAGTTGATCACACGGAGGTAGACTACTGCAGCATATCCTTTCTCCGAAGCATCGCTGAAACCATGAAGTTCTGCAAGCTTATGAGTTGAGGTAAAGATGTAACGTGGGATCCTTAGGTTTTGGATCACGGGTAGTTCTTCTAAAAAGGAAATCCATTTTGTTCTTATCTCATCTTGAATTGGATCATCCCATTTTAGACCTGTGGTCCAAAGATATTGAATGAGTGTTTTAGCCCAAAATATTACAGGTGTGAGAAATCCTGGGAGATCATAGAGTTTAGCGATTGTTGAGAGAATCATTCTCTTGGTTAGCAAGTGGCCTACTTCAACATTCTTTACTTTGTATGAGAGCATGTCTGTCTCTGGGGTCCATCTTAAACCCAATACACTGTAGAAGGCCTCACTACCATCAGTCAACTCCACTGGTGATTCTTTGTGTTCGACTGGAATCTGATCCAAGAGTTGGGGTGCATTACTGATCCACTTACGGAGTTCAAAACCGCCTTTAGACAGCAATGTTTTCAGTTCATTTTGAGCTGACATAGCTTTATCGAGATCTTCAGCTCCAGCTATAATATCATCATAGAAGATAGACTTGGTCAAGATATCAGAAGCTTGTGGGTATGGTTGACCTTCGTCCAAAACTAGCTGGTGCAAGGTTTTGATTGCAATAAAAGGGGAACAATTAAGCCCATATGTAACTGTATTGAGTTTGTACGTTTGGAGTGGATCATCTGGACTAGCGCGCCAGTATATCATTTGATAACTTTTGTCCTTATCAGAAACCAAGATCTGACGATACATTTGACGTATGTCACAGGTGAATACAATTTTATGACATCTAAAATACAATAAAACATCACTGATATCATTTTGAAGTTTGGGACCAGGCATGAGAATGTCGTTCAATGATATGCCATTAGTAGTTTTAGCGCTGCCGTCAAAAACAACACGTATTTTTGAATTCGGGGGATTCTCCTTGAAGACACCGTGGTGAGGCAAATAATAGTATTCAGAGGTAGGAGGTTCTTTACAAATAGTCATATGACCTGATTCAATGTAGTCATCCATAAATTCAGAATAGAGCCTTTGTAACTCGGGTTGATTAGAGAATTTCCTTTCCATCGAGCTAAGTCTCAATTGTGCTTTGGTACAAGATTCACCAAGAGGGGAATGATTTGGTTTCTTGGGCAGCTCGATTATGTAACGACCTGAGTCATCACGTCTATGGGTGTTTTCAAAATGTTGTAAACAGAGGGTATCTTCCTCAGTCTGAGCCTTGATCCGTATTGGGGGTTCTTCTAGCGTCCAGAATTTTTGAAGTGAATTATGAAGATCCAAATCATGAGTTGTCAAGAGTGAGATGGGAAATGTGTTTGATGAGTTTCCTGCTACAGAGGCTACAGGAGCGAGGCCCATCACAACAAAACCAAAAATGGTTCCAAGAGCTTGAGGTAAATTTTGTCCTAATCTATGCTGTTCGCCTGTGAGGGTTAGGGCAAATAAGTCTGCACCGATAAGTAAATCTATCTCTCCAGGCTGATCGAAACAGGGATCGGCTAGGATAAAATGTTTCAAAGATTCCTTAACCTGGTGTGAAACTGGTATCTGAGGCAGGGGTGATGTGATACTACTCAAAACCATACAAGGATGGTTTTTAGCCAAAGGATTTCCATTGATCGCAGACATGTTGACATGTACGATACCTCTAGAATTAATAACTGCACCAGAGATTCCTTTTATTTCATCATGGAGTCGAGTACGTGGGGCGTTGATGAGTTGAATAGCTTTCTCTGATATAAGGGTAAGTTGGGCAGCGGAGTCGAGCACAGCACGGTAGACCATTATTAGGGTTTCTCCGCCATCAGCTGTTTTGAAGATAGGGGCGGAAATGGCGTAGTTATAGCGGATTTGAGGTGACGTCACGAAGGATGATCATATGATGTTCAAGGTCATTTGTTTGTGTTTTAAAAAAAGGAAGCTAGCCTACAGTTGTAGTGTAGGATAGCTTCCTTGTTTTGTTTATTGTTTATTTGTATAAAACATGAGGAATGACAATAACTTACATACTATTACAATAAATAAGGAAAACATGTGCGAACGTACGTATCTAGAGTGAGCGTCTGCTAAAGTGTAAAACGAATGAGTTTATTGGTGGCCTTTATAAAGGCCGTTTTGTGTAGTTCGGCGACGCTTGTTGTACTTGGATGTTTACTTCTTCAACTCCTCTATTGTATTATGGAGCTCTTTCCATCTTGCCATGTCTGCATTGTGCTCGGCCCATTCGATGTTGTCTCGAGGCTGAGCGCACCAAACACGATCAAATTTGCGTCGAATCTCCTTCTCCTCCTCTAGCAGTTGAAGTAGTTTTTTTTCCTTTCGTTTTCGCTCCTGCTCTTCTGCTTCGATGCATGCTTGGTGTAGGTCAGAGTCTTCAATATCACTTGTCCACTGTTGTTGTTGTTGTTGTTGTTGTTGTTGTTGTAGGTTGGCCATCTTGTGCAAAGTAAACGAGAAAGGTTGAGTTGACTGGTGAAGAGCTGGATGCGAAGTGACTGTTGCGTGTAAAGAAGTGCAGGTCCCTGACGAAGTGGGCGGAGCTAAAGCAGTAGGGGTGGGGGAAAGTAGTAGAGGTGGGGGAGAGCATCATGAGGGTATCACTCCATCCGTTTTAAATGTATTTTGATTCTACGTCCCTTGTCTTGTGAGTGATGTTTCCGTGTTTCTTGATACGTTTTACAATTACATTGACAATAGGAGAACGATTCACATTTTTTACAAGCCATTCCATCTACTTGACATTCAGGTGTTTTGAAACACTTTAGATTACAACAATAGTATTTTAAATCGTATTCCGATTTGGGATCAAAAGATGAATTGGAATTACACTGTGACATGTTGCTCGACTGAATTCTAAAACAAGAATGAAAAGCAATGTGTTGTGAGCTGCTATTTATAGTGCAAGAGTCAGCAGCTCTCATGCATCTGCCACAAGTTAGTCTACATTTTTCCATAGTAGGTTAACCATTTGTGTTAGATCGTGTATGTAATTTTGATGCTTGTCTTGATATGTTTTACACCTACATTTGCAATAGCCAACAGACTCGCATTTTTTACAAACTTTTCCATCAACTTTACTTTCAGGCTTTCTAAAACAATTTAAATTACAACAATAGTTATCCAAATCGTATTTGGATTTGTAAACAAAAGGTAAATTGTATTTACGCTGTGACATGATGCTCGGTGAATTGTTTAAACAAGACTGAGAGCAACTGCGTGTAAGACCTGTTATTTATAGTAAAAAGTTCAAGGTCATTTGTTTGAATTTAAAAAAAAGAAACAACATATCAGCATATAGAATTAATGATATGCTGATATGTTGTTTCCTCTTTTAATTTTTTTATTTATTTTTTTAATGACAAAAACATTTAACAAACATATGTACATAGATGGTTATTTACAGAAAAAAACTTAAAACTAACATTGATGGGTGATGTGTAGAGATAGTTCAGTGGAATTGTTTCCGCAAACTCCGTGTGATACCAAATAGAGGGATCCTGGTTGAATACCTCGCAGGTCTTCGTTTTGTAGTTGCTGCACAAATCGTCTTGGAAGATAAACTTGAAATTTCGGTTCATCACCTGGTGAAAACGGTGCCTCGCTCAGTGATGCTAAAATTGCGTCTCCATGTGAAGTTTCTGTCTTCTTCAGCTCGTGAACGATGTAGTGTTTGTGTTCCTTCAATTCGTGACATTTCTTAGTACTTAGAATGCTGGATTTGGACTGGGTGTTGAACTGATCCACCAAAGACTGGAGAAACTGTTGTGAAGCCATTTTCTTGATTAGGACTACCCTGTGAGATGTTGCCTCTGCGATGTCTGGAGTAATACTGATGAGGATCCTGAGACTGTCCACTGTATTTATAGCACACGTTCCCCCCTCCACTGCTATTTCCTTCGTAATACTTCCACTGTTGCTGTTTGAATTTATTTTTGTCCCAATAGTGAAGAACTAGAAAATTAGCTAATCGGTATGCGTTTTGTAGTGCACATTGTGTTACTGTGCGATAAGAGTGATCTGTTAAAGTACAAATAGGTCCATAATTAATTTGATGATCCTTGTCCATTCTTATGTCGAAAACATCGTGATATGTGTATTGTTGTATCCATTGTCTTTTTTCCGATCCTCTTGTATAAATATGGGAAAACTTGTTAGAAAAATGATACATGATATTGTTCAAGTGCTTATAGCTTATCAATCCTTCGTTCCACTGAATATGGTGAAAATGTTTAGTTATCCATTTGTTTGTTCTTCTTGCTTTGTCATTCAATTGGTTTACTGAAAATGGAGCTTCAAATATAAACGGGTATACGACATGTGTAATCAAATCTAAAATCACTAATTCTTTTATCACAAATTCATCTTTGTTATCACGAAATGCTTGAAATTCTATTACACAGGGTTTTATATCCATAATGTTTAACCCTATCTACACACCACCACGTATAGTGTTCAACTGAATTCACACCGCGCCTTGGTCACTCTTTTATACTGTTTTTCTTTAATTACACTTCTTGGGTTGCTGGTTCTTCTTGGTTTATAGTTTCATATTCTTCAACAGCTTCTATCGCTTCTTCATCAATTGATTCGAAGTTCCTTAACTGTCTCCACATACCAACTTCATGAGGCAATCTATTAAAAATAGATGTATCCACGTGTCCGTATAATATAGTGCTTTCCGGTTGTTTTTCTAGTGTATCAATTAAATACTCCTTGATGATTGAACTTGAGAATACAAGTTGTTTCATATATCTAGAGATAGGAGACGTTGCATGCATTAAAATGTAGAATTCTTCACGTGAGAGTAAAATTTTACTTTCATGTTGAGTTAAATCTCTAAATCGTACTTGTAGTGTTCCACGATTCTTTACTATGTCAATTTCATTGTCAGAATCCAAAAGTCGAATATTAGTTTTCCTTCCGCAAACATTAGTATTTAAGTAACATTCAATTAGATTTAAATGTTTTAGAAAAGATTCCCATGCCGTTTCAGAAAATATAACCATTTTTGTACCATGCTGCAAGATTACTGTAGGTGTATATTCCGATGATTTCATTAGTCCAGCTGTTACACTTTTACCCAAACATAGTGAGATAGGATAGTAAATGCGTAGGAAAACTTCTTTCAAAATATTAATTGGGATTGTATCTTCATCTTTCCGCTTCCTCTTAGTGCCATTTTTTTTAGTTTTTTCTTCTTTGTCCTCCTTGTTTTCTTTGTCTTCTTGTTTTCGAAACTTTAAAAATTCTTCTATTTCATTGACGATTTCTTGATGGTTTTCTTGATCCAATAATGCTGCTTCCTCTGCATCCTTTTGAACGACTGATGGAGAACTCATTTTACTCATGATGTAGTGTAGGATGTTACCCATTCAACGAACGAGCAAAGACTGATTGGTGGTGTGCGAAGCTCCTCCTTTTATAGCCGACTGGTGGTTGTGGTGAAACTCATTTACAACACTGTTTTGACTAATCCCGTCAATGGTGTGTACGTTACAATTTTATCATGCAAAATTAAACAATATGCAGATGTTGCATCAGGAACGTTCTCTTCAAACTCCATTTCTATTTTTATATCCACACTTGATGACTTTACAGATTCGTTTTGTTTTGAACAATCTATTACAATTATTGGAGCTTTTGATTCGTACTGCTCGGGAGACAGTATCGGGGTGTTTGTTTTCCCGTAGTATGAACTTTGGAATCTAGCGTACATATCATACAAAACAGTGTACCTCTTCTTAGTGAAAGAAATATTAAAGTTGTCGTAAGGGAAAAATTGTGAATTAAGAAACACTTTACAATTTGTTAGTTTGCAATGATCGAAATGGCCGGCATTAGCTAGTATATTATTCCTTTTTTTTGTTTGTAGTGCAAATATTACATATCTTGCTTTTTCCAAATGAGTAGATGTTTTTACAGTCAGAAAAAAAAATACAGAAATATGCCGCCATTTTCCAATATGGTGGCCGTAGCACAGCTTCAATTTTAGGGGACTTTTAGTATGTTCAAAAGGAAGGTATGCCCAACATCTGTAGCAATTCCTTGCTTGTACTAATTATTTTTAGGTTTATGGGATTTTTGCTTATTTTTACTGTACTATTTACAATTGTCTATTTAACCTACTGGATATTACAAACATACATATTTACTCCCAATAAGTTGCTGAGTTTTTTTGTACACATATGTTTTTTGTTTTAAAATTTTCTATGTAATTATTATGGTGAAAAATCTACCTTTGAAATTAACTCGCACCCTCAATTGCAAGAATATTCAAAATTTTCGAACCTTATTGACAAAAATTCAAATTAAGACAGACGTTTTGACACCTCAAACGTTGGAATTGGTCCACAAATAATAAAGGAGTAGTGTTACAAAAAACTGCTTCACGTATTATACTCGTACATATTTACTGTTGTAAGTTAACAGGACAGTTATGTTTTTGGAGTGAACTTGATTTATTTCTATTTACTTTCCGTATAAATGGTAACTAACACAAAAATAATAACGAATGTATGCACAGTTACATACTATTAATTCTGAGAAGCTTGTTTCAGAATTTAAATATTGAATTTCCTCCTTCGTTAGTTGACTGATTGGGATTAAATTAAAATCGAATCAAAATATCGTCCCGGTGATATCGTTGTTTTTTTGTAAAGCGATGGCAGCGCTAACGAGGATTTAATTACATCCGGATATTATTTTTTATTTAAGTAAAAACGTCCAATCCATTATCAGTGTCTAGATTGTTTGTGCTAAACGGACAAAAATGTTTGGATTTTATA